GCCACTGGGGGAGCGCATCAATACACATCTTGCACGTGAGTGGCTCGTCGGTACGTGGTTTTCATGTACCATGCCAGGCATAGCCAGGTTACGACATGCAACTGCAGAAATTATAGAACGTCAATATGCCAACACAACTTGACAAGACAGCCGTGGTCCCGGACCGTGGTACAAACACCTTCCCAGTACCAGTACCAGGACACAGGACGAATGCCTCTTACAAGGCAGTAGCATTTCGGAAGTCACATTTTGAAACTATTTTGTTTGCATCTTTTTTTCTGAATGTTTACCTGTGTCGCCCTGGTCATATATTCCCCGTGTCGTCGCCATTTCGTCGTATTCTTTCGTTTGAATCCTAGTACATGTACTTGCAAATGTCATTACACGCCATCTTGAATGTATACAGTGGCTGATTCAGATTACGCATGCGCGCAGTGGTAAACGGTTTCAAAATTTATCGTGTCACGGCCACCTGATCTTGTCATTGTACACTCGTAAATAGTAATAACTGTATTCCGTTTTCTGTGGTAAAATTATCGGAGACTCGAAGTCTTATTGTCAGAAATCGTGAATCAAAAAGTCATGGAACAAGTGGGACCTGTTTGAAATATTTATTCAGACACACTGGTCTGTGGGGCCCCGTTTCACTGCCGTTTGAAATGTGTTTTGTTTCACACATAACTAGTTGAAGACATGCATCTTGCTTATTGTCGCTTCCTACTGAGCACCTCCAAAAATTACCCCCAAATTAGCCATTTATAGTGAATTAGGGGGATTCCCCATTGACTGCTATATTCAAAGACAAGCTTAACAGAATAATAATAGTAATAATAATAATAATAATAATAATAATAACAGTAATAACAGTAATAATAATAATAATAATAATAATAATAATAATAATAATAATAATAATAATAATAATAATAATAATAATAATAATAATAATAATAATAATGCCTTTATTGAAATCATATCCTGTTCAGGATCTGGATTTTCAAAATACAATAAAGTTTCAAATACATACAGAATGGCAAGACGAAAAATACAAATGAAGACATAGTAAAAACATAATAAAATAAAATAAAAACGGAGAACAAGGAATGGTTAGAAAAACAGAAAAGGTATCTTAATAAGTTATATCAATTATAAAGCAGCTGGTAACAGTCGACCGTTTCACGATAGGTGGGCGTGGCTACAACACGAGAAATATCCCAAATTTACTTGGATACGTGTAATCATTTTCAGCAAAAAAATCAATAACTACCCTTTTCAGTGGGACACAGATCTAAAATGGGAAACGTGAGGGTGGGCATTGCACAGGCACTTTAAAGCGTTTTGCAGCCCGGATTCAGAAACAGACAGCAAAAGCAGGTCATCTGCATATAACATACAGGATAGCTGACTGACTGTTAGAGAGGGGGGGTCATTATTGGACTGCTCAATTTCATTTTTAATATCATTTACATAAATGTTGAACAGAAGAGGGCTTAGTCCATCGCCCTGTCTGATGCCTCTTTTTACTGGGAATTCACTGATGAGGCCATTTTTGGTTTTGACGCAACTTAGAGATTCTGAATACATTGACCTGATGATAGTATAGAATTTTCCTGTGATGCCGTTTTGTGCAAGTTTGTGAAACAAGCCTTGATGCCAAACTGAATCAAAGGCTTTTTTAAAGTCAATGAAACATGCAAAGACTTTTTTCCCTTTTTCCAGGTATTTTGCAAGAATTTGTTTCAGAACAAATATGTGATCACTTGTTCTGAACTTGGGGATGAATCCAATCTGTTCCTTAACAATTAAGTTATTTACATCAATATATTTAATAAGTCTTTGTTTTAAAACTGCTGTGAACAGTGTGCTCAAGGTGTTTAACAGTGTAATGACCCTATAGTTACTAGGGTCAGATTTATCACCCTTTTTAAAGACTGTGGTTATAATTCTTTTTTCTTCATATTATAAGTTTCTTGTCTAAGTTGTTTGTTATAAGGGTTAGTACTCATGTTTATCGACATTTTGTATACCTCTTTTTTTAAGGCATTAAGTTCTCTAGTATACCACTTTGGTTTGGCTTTTCTGCTGGTTTTTCTTTTTACTTTTAATTATATGTTTCTGGAGACTTTTACCAGCTGCTTTAATGTAGATGTTTGATATCATTGAGCTTGCTGAGTCAATGGATTGTTTTGAGCAATCAAAATGCTCTCCACAAAACCTTTCTATCAACACAGCAATTTCTTTACTCTGTAAAGCCTCATAATAGTGATAACTGGAGTGTTTGTCCCATTTTTAAGAAATATTAAGGCTGTGTATGGTTAATAACCTGTTTGGTTTCTGTTCTGTTTTGGTTTTCCTGAACAGTGTCAAACAATTTGTTTGTTTCAATCCAAAATGACATCTGACAGTGGTCAGAAAGATTTAGATTCAGATTTAAATTTATATTCAGATCATGAATTTCATGATCATGAATAGCTAAACATAACAACAATATTTTAAGGTAGCGGGATAGTTTTTTTGCATGGAAAATGTAAACACCTATACTCGGAATAAATTTTACAAGAAACCATACAATCTATATATGTTTGGAAAGCTCTTGACTTGTACTTTTCTATTATTAATATGTTTTAGCGTCACGTGATTCTGAAAATCGACGGGGCTGATAATTAACTAACGTGAATACAATTTTAAATGTCAGCTCTACGGTTATTCATGCGATCAAAAAGGTCATGAAGTTTAAATCCGTATTTCTATTTTTTACATTAAGTTTGTTTTCCTTTCCGAAAATCACAAATTTAAAGCACGTTTTTTGGTGTTAAAGTTAGTGTATACCGGCGGTTTGCGCGAGGTTTGTGCAAAAACGCAATAGAATATAGAAGCATATCTTGTTAACAAAACGCTGAACAGTAAATGGTTCATTAAAATGAAATCTACATTAAACGAAATAAATCAAATTGATCTAATAAACCCAAAAGAACTAATTAAACCAACAAAATTAAAACAAATTGATAACAACATTCAAAACAATTTTTCATTATTCTGGACAAATGAATTACATGCTGATAATAGAAATAAAATAAATGAAAAAAAAAATTAAGAACTTACAGAACCTTTAAGAAAGATATAGAAATAGAAAACGATTACTAGAAATTAAAAATAAAAACTCCATGAAATTCTATCCAAGTTTCGATTAAGTATTCACTCACTAGATATTGAAATTGGCGTCACAATGTACTGTACCATTGATGTGCTCCGGTGTGAGTATGGTGCTGTAAAGTCACAGTTATTTGTTATTTGTAAAAAAAAAAAAAAAAAAACCTCTAACATGCTAGGACGAAATTAAGGTGATAATAAA